TTGGAGACTTGCACATTATAGAAGTGTGAACTCTCTCTGTCCCAGGACCCGCACAACAAATTAAACTGAAGGTAGAACATGATTTCTGAAGGCTTTCTTTTAAACCAAGGTCATGAAACTGGACTCTACTCCTTCCTGCTCCCATTAGTAAGACTGACAAACATTTTAAGAATGGGGGTATGGTAGCACACATCTGGTGTTGGTCTAAGTTCAAGAAGTTCCTTAAGCTTTCTGACCTTCCCATTTCTCTTTATAAAATAAGGATAAATCCCTACTCTTTTGGATAATATCTGTAACGAAGCACCAACACAAGGACTGGCGATCCTAACTTTTAAATGCCCTAATTTGATTACATAACCTTGTCTTCCAGGAAAGCTCTTCCTGTGTTCACCTGTCTCAGCATCCACACCGTCACACAAAATCTATGAGCTCTTAGCCGAGACCGGTTTGGCTCAATGGATAGAGCGTCGGCTTGGGGACTGAAGGGTCCCGGGTTCGATTCCGGTCAAGGGCATGTACCTTGGTTGCGGGCATATCTCCAGTAGGGGGTGTGCAAGAGGCAGCTGATTAATGACTCTCTCTCATCAATGTTTCTAACTCTCTATCTCTCTCCCTTCCTCTCTGTACAAAATCAATAAAATATATATTTAAAAAAAAAAAAAATCTATGAGCTCTTATCTACAACTGGACTCTCCCTGAGCACCCTGGGCACGCCCTCACCGTTTCCACCGTGTATGAAGTCCTTACAGATTCTGCTTCTTCACTTCTCTGGTTTCATGTCCCCCAACTCCTGTGTCCCTCATCAACTCCTGTGTCCCTGTCAGAGCCTCATAACTAATTTCCCTGCATTCTTCAAACAGGTGGTATCTTACTCAAGTTCAAATATTAATCATCTCTTCCAAAGTACTAACACTGGCTTCAAGATAATATCTAAAATCCTTGGCAAGAAATTCAAAGCTTCGCAGGATCTGGCCCTGCCTTCCAGCTGCTCCCAATTTGGGATTCTGATATTCCAGGAGTGTGAAACCAACTTCACTAACTAGCCGCACATCTCAGGCTGTTCTTTCTGTTTGAGATAGTTTCCCTTCCATCCCCTTAACCTGGGGGGGGGGGGGGTTTGGTTAAGGAGGGGGGGTCTTCCTTAAGATTTCTTTTTACAAAACCTTCAGATTCCTTTATTAGAATACTTAACATGCAGGATTTCACATATTTATTTACTGTATTATCTCCTTTACTCAGTGGTAAACTGTTGCAGGGCAAGAACTAAGTCTTATATTACACCCAGGTGCCGACTATACACAGCACACAGAAATAGGTGAAACTTACTAACTGCCCTTCGAATGGTGGAGCTGAACAATGTATTTAAGGGCATGAATAAAAAAACGTGCCCATTGCTGAAACCAGTTTGGCTCAGTGGATAAAGCGTCGGCCTGGAGACTGAAGGGTCCCAGGTTCGATTCCGGTCAAGGGCATGTACTTTGGTTGAGGGCACATCCCCAGTAGGGGGTGTGCAGGAGGCAGCTGATCGATGTTTCTCTCTCATTGATGTTTCTAACTATCTCTCTTTCCTCTCTGTTAAAAAAAAATATATATCAATAAAATATATATTTTTTAATTAATTTATTTGTTTCAATATATTTTATTGATTCTTTACAGAGAGGAAGGGAGAGGGACAGAGAGTTAGAAACATCCATCAGCTGCCTCCTGCACACCCCCCACTGGGGATGTGCCCGCAACCAAGGTACATGCCCTTGACTGGACTCGAACCTGGAACCTTTCATTCCACAGGCCGACGCTCTATCCACTGAGCCAAACCGGATTCGGCTATTTTTTTTAAATTAAAAAAAAAGAAAAAAAGAAAGAAAATGTGTCCACAATAAAGATGCGTATTAAGGATGATGTTCTTTTCAGTTGTACACTTGAAACCTGTATGGTTTTAAAAACCAATGTCAACCCAATAAATTCAATTAAAATTTTAAAAGATGTGTATTTAAAAACGGATGTCTTTTTAAAAAAATATACTTTATTTTAGAGAGGAAAGAAGAAGGAGGGAGAAAGAGAGATAGAAACATCAGTAAGTCATTGGTCGGCTGCCTCCTGCACGCCCCCTACTGGGATCAAGCCCACAACCCAAGCATGTGCCCTGACAGAAAATCAAACTGTGACCTCCTGTTTCATAGAAGCATTGAGCCACACCGGCTGGACTAAAAACTGATGTTTTAAATGGAGTCGTTTTTAACGTTTAGTCTACAGATTTTTTTTAATATATTTTATTGATTTTTACAGAGAGGAAGGGAGAGAGACAGAGAGCCAGAAACGTCGATGAGAGAGAAACATCGACCAACTGCCTCCTGCACACCCCCTACTGGGGATGTGCCCGCAACCAACGTACATGCCCATGACCGGAATCGAACCCGGGACCCCTCAGTCCGCAGACCGACGCTCTACCACTGAGCCAAACCGGTTTCGGCTACAGATTTTTTTTGTAAGGAAAAATTGTTTTGAGGCTTACAGATTTCCAGAAAATGTAAACCAAATCAATTACTTTAATTACAGATGATTAACAGTAAACAATTCAATGCTTTCCTAACAATTGGTAGAAAAATTATTTCTTGCTTATTGCAAGTAAGCATATGTGGGAGGAAGAGGAGGCTAGGAAAATAATGTGGGAAACATGAGTCTCAAAATGAGAGCTATTTAAACTCAGCATACATTAGCATCAACCAAATTAAAATAACATTAAGCCAAATCAAACTTATAACAGGTGGAAACAACTAAATACAAGCTAGCAACAAGTTGCTTTAGTTCAATGGAAACGGGTTTTGACTATGTAACAGTCAATGTGCCTGTGACTTCTGTATTTTTAGTGCAAAAAGGAAACCTACCTCCCTCTTTTTGGAGGGGGTGCACTTCCAGCTTATTTCCATAATACAGAAAACCTCATTTGCTGATTCAATTAGAGGAGAAACTGGAGAATCAAAGAAAATATTTTCAATTTATAACCCCCGAGTCAAAGCTAAGTGTGGGAATTCCAGGACACTCTTGTGAACAAGAGAAAGCAGGAAGAGGTAAGATGGTTGAATCAGAACTTCTTAAGGAACCAGGACTGAAGGTAGGGTCTTCCCAGAACCAGTTCCTGAGGGTGGGGGAGGGGGCCAAAGACTCATTCTTTCCACTCATCATTTACTGAGTATTTCCTCAGTTGGGTCTTCTGTAAAATGTCTACTTCCCCAAGTTGTGAGAGTAACAACAGCCAATATTTACCAAGCACCTTCCTTGCTTAATGATTTACAACCCCATGAGCCCCATCATTGCTACTTTGCAGACGAGGTAACAAGACCACAATGGGACTTACTTAGGATGGCCAAGGCTTTGGAATTTAGGCATTTAACCCCCGAGCCTTCTGAACAATTAACCTAAGTGCCTCAACAAATGTGCTCCCTTCCTTCGCAACCAATAATATTCCTAGCTTCTAAGAAAAAAAGGAAATGCCCTATTTTTAAAGCAACCTGCTGTGTTGTGGGCCTGGCATGGTGAATTCATGTCTTCATAACAGTTTAGAAAGTTGGTTCATATTTCAAATCAAAGGAAGCTTTCCCCAGTGAAAAATTTGTTTTACATAGAAAATCATTCTCCAATGGCTTTCCTGACATAAATCTTCCTGACTTTGAGCCCCAGGAGGCAGGTTTTCCCAGGGCTCGATTCCCACTCTGGGGGAAAAGTGACTATCCGAGGTCCAGATCTACAGAATTGAGAATTCTTAGCAACAGCAGCTTTGGGGTTCTAGAATTAAGCCACCAACTGAACTTTTCATCTCCAACCTCCCACAAAAGCAACAAAAAAAGGGAAGGCAGCAGAGACCTTGTCTGTGTGACTTGCCCCCTCAGCTCATTCACCTTGATAAACCAAATCTCTGTTGCACATATCCCTGATATTGAAAATATCTGCAATTTAATGGTTTTATTAAGGTCTATATATTGTATTTGAAATGTCCCCGGATATTGAAGTCCTCGCAGGAACTTGACTATAAAATACTAATTAAGAAAAAACAAACAAAGGATCTCAGTGTATTTGCAAAGTACTTCATATGCATTTTAAACACATGACTCTGAGAAATGACTGCCCAGAGGAAGCCATAAAGTTATTAAATCCAAAGCTTTTCATTTTCTTGACATGCTCTTTGTATTCAATTCAGAAGTTTAGTTACCGATACTGTTTGCCTTTGGGTATCTGCTATTTGGTGAACCAAAACTCGGGGGAAATGTGATTATTTAATAACAAAACAATGAAAAGCAGAAAAAAAGGATTTCCATTTGTACAGGTGTGGGGGCGTGGCCTCTGAGGATATTCTTTCCCCGGAGATGATTACTTTTGGATTCTAACCCTCACACGTGATCTAAAATGCAGGCGAAAACAGCAAAGAAGCAACAGATATGGTGGCTGCTTACTGGATGTCTAGACTGCAGGCAAACCCCAAATACCAAGGAAGCATCCATGTGTCAAACCAGCATAATTTTTGAGCTATGCCTGGGGTCACATACTAAAAAAAAAAAAAAAAAAAAAAAAAGGAAAGAAAAAAGTTAGCTTGAAAAGAAAATCTAAGAGGGGTAACCAGAAGGTCAACCACAATTCCCAGGAACTGGGACGAGGCCAGCAGGGAGAGCACAGCGAGCCATGGTCGTTCCCAGCAGCTTCCTCCCCAGCCCTCACACAAAATCTCCAAGGCCCAGCACCCCGTGTGCAGGCTTCTTCAAGGTCATCCCGAGATAACACAGTGAACAATCGCCAGACATTGAGCCAAGCATACCTTCAGGGCCAAGAATGATCCCCCCTTCCCCAAAAATCATTATACAAATACTTCAAATGCCACCAGGCTCTCTCCAGCTACACCAGAAACAAACTCCCCCTAACTTTTAATTATTTCGGCTGAGCAATTAATAAAACGCGTTCTGTTTTGCAACATAAATTATTAAAAGGCTTTTCAAGTCGGCGAACTCCAGTTCAAAAACAGGTGCTTACTGACAAGGTCAAATCCTTTTCTCTCTCTCTCTTTTTTTTAACTATTCAAAGAAAAAGGGGAGAAAAGTTTTATTAACCTTCTTTAGGAACAGGTGAGAAGTTGGAGGGGAAAGGATCGCGGGGATAAAACTGTCTCCCCACAGGGAGCATGCTTGGCTAAACAGTAATCCTTAGTCTAGCCAGAGGAAGAGAAATAAAAACAAAGACATCTACTGGGGTCCTAGTTACCGGGACAAACTCTGCAGCGTCCTCTTACCACCCAAACAAACCACCACCACCACCCCAACCCAAACAAACCTCGCCCCTCCCACACGCAAACACAAAAGCAGCAGCAGCACGCACCCGGAGCCCCGCAACTTCCCCACGGTGGTGGTTCGTTGCGTGTCGTCGGGGCTTGGGTCCCCCGAACGTGTGCGGGCCGAGGCTCAGCTGCTTGGGAATTGGGGGGATGGGGGGGGGGGGGAAGTTGCTGGGTTTCCCAGAAAGCAACAAATTGTCTCCCCCGTCCTCCCAAGGCAATCGGGTCCCCCACGGCCCTCGTGTGTCTCCCCCCCAACCTGCGCCTCCCCCTTGGGCATGCGGTGACCCCACCAAGAAAGAGGCACCGCGGTAGCAGCAAAGAGCAGAGCTCCCCGCCGGATCTGTTGGCAAATAAAAACAGCTCGGGTCGGGAAGAAAGTTCCACGGGGGAGCTGCTGGCCGGGGCGAGGGCGGAGGGACCTCACCTGCGCCGGCACAACGGGCCCCTCGCCGCCGGCGCCCGCCCAGCGCGGCGCCTCCCGCAGGCCGCGCCTCCCTCCCGCACGCCGCGCTGCCGGGGCTTGTTCCTCCTCATGGCTTTGCCCTGACGTAATTCAAACATGGCAACAGTTCCACTTCAAAGGCGAAGCCCCAGACCTCCCAGACGCAGGCTCCGGGCCGCGGGTAACGGACCGGGAACTCGGGGCCACGCTCTTCCCGGCCCTTTGGGGCCGTCGCCGCACCGGGGCGCCGGGACCCCCTCCTCCCCCCCATGCCGCCTCCCTCCCCGCCCAGAGCGCCCGGAGCGCGGAAGCCCGCCGCCTCCCCGCGCACCAGCATGGCACCTCACCCAGGAGCGCCGCCAAAAGTTTCCCCGCGCCGGGCAGGGGGACAAAAGCCCCTCCCGAAAGTCGCCCCAACTTGACGGGGGGGCGCCCGGCCCGCACGGCCCTCCGCCCGCAGCCGCCCCGCGCGCCGGCGGGGCCCGCATGGGCGCATGCAAAGCCCTTTGTTTTGCGTCCGGCCCGGCGCTGCCTACGTGCGGCATCGGGATGCCGGATGGTCTCCCCGGGGCCAGACACCAGGCGGGCACCCCGGGAGGGCTCGGCACCCCGCGCCGCCGCAGCCCTGTCGGTCCTCCCCACCTCCCCTCCCCTCGGCGGCGGGCCCGTTCCATCCCCAAGTTCTGCCCGGTCCCTGGATGGACAGACGCCTGCCTGGGTCACCCGCCCCGCCCCGGCCAGGAGAGTTGGTGACTTTCACTCTGCTTTTGTAAACTGGCAGGACGCCATCATCTGCAAAACCACATTGTCCTGCCGGGCGGGCGGCCGGACGCGGCAGCGCCCGCGGCTCGCGGCTGACCTGGAGCCGGACGGACACTCCCGGCGAGAACCAGGTCGCCGCTCCGACCGAGCACGTGGTCCGTCAGGTTCGGCACAAAAACGCGGCGCTCGGCGGGGTCCTCTGGCCCCGGGGGCGCACGCCGCGCCGCCGCCTCCATCCCCGGGGTCCGTGGGCTCGGACGGGCCATCTGAAGCCAAACACGCGCCGGCCCTTTAGAGAAAAGCCCTCGCCGCGGCGCCCACGGCCACGCTACAGGTGAATCCACGGCGAACTAAACTTGGGGGGCTGCCCCCAGACACCCAGAGCGCTGCCTGGGCGCGGCCCGGAGGCGTGGGGGAGCCCGGGCTGCTCCCCGAGGGGCGGCCGCGTGCGGCTCTCATTGTCGCATCCGCGTCCCCCCGGAGTCCGGCCAACAACGCCCCGCGCCGCGTGCGCTTGGCAACCCCGGCGGCACCGACCCAGAGGCCGGTTTAAAACCCCCTCCTGCCCTCCGCCAGCTCGCAAGTCCACACACCGCAACTTTAAGTTTGTAGGGTCCGCCTTTCTCAAAACACGCGCAAAGGGGCTGCTGCCATCAACACTAAGCCACGAGGTCCACAGCCGCCGGAGCCCCGACCCCTCCCGGGCGCGCGCCCACACCGCGCACCGATCCCCGGGGAGGGGGGGGGGTGCCCCCTCCGCCAATTGCCAGCGAGTCGTTTTCCCCTCGGGCCTTTCCAGCCACCGGGCTGGCTCTGCTCCTGGGCGCCCGAGATCGCTGCGGCTGACAAAAAAAGTCATTGTCACCTTTACCGTGGATGCCGCCGCCCCAACTCCGGCGGCTCCGCACGCGTTCCCAGGCTCCCCCCTCCACGTCCCCCGCCGCAAGACTTTCGGTTTGCCTTCCGTCCCCTCCCTCCGTCCCCGATGGAAAGAGACACACACTTTAAAAAACGTGCGCATACAAAAGGATCGGGGGGTCCGGGGGAAATCACGAACACAGCGCTCCCCGCAATGCCATCTCCAAGACAAAACTTCCTGTGTGTGCGTGTGCGTGTGTGTGTGTGTGTGTGTGTGTCTGTGTGTAAGGACTGGGGGAGGTGGGGGAGATGAAATGAGAGAGGGAGAGAGAAAAAAAAAAGAAGCCACTCTGAAATCAAAGCCTAGGGAAGAGTTTTGCACCAGAGTAATGGTCGGAGTCACTCACCTTCCACACGCAGCCGTTCCACGCGCAGTCAGCGTCCCCGAGGTGCGGCGTGCACGCCAGGCCAACCACCCCCACCCCGCGCCTGTCGCTCCCTCCTTCCCCAACTGCCTTGTCTGGGAAGATTGTCTCCTTGCAGTTCTGCAGTTGCTACCGCCGCTGGCCGGGGAAGGTGTAGATTCCGCTTTCCCTCTGCGCACGCGCGGCTCCCGGTGCAAAATTCTACTGAATCGGGCTCATTTGCATGCGGGCGCGCGCGCGGCGAGGGCGGCGGAGGCGAGGAGGCCCGGCGGCCGCGCGCGCTCCCGGCGCCTCTATTGTCCTTTTAAGGGGAGAAGCGCCGCGGCGCGGGAAACGCGGCGGCGGCGGCCGGAGGCTCACGGGGGCGGGGACTGCTTACTACGGGTGACGTCACGTAAACAAACGCCTCCCGGGCGGAGGCGGCGGCGGCCGAGGGGGCGTGGCGGGGCGGGGAAGGCGGAAAGGTTATAGCCACGCGGGGCGAACGCCCAGCTTGCGCGACGCGCCTGCCACCCTCCAGTTCTCGGGCGGCGCGCACAGGTCTTTCGCGTTGGAAAACCGTTCCGAAAGCTGTTTTGCAAAATGTTCACACCTGTGCCCCGGTTTCTAGCCTGACGTGTGGTTTTGCAAGCACCCAGACTGCATTTATTTTTATTTTATTTATTTATTTTTGCAAGCACCCAGACTGCATTGATAGGTCTCCTTACGTTTCCTAAATTTTGTTTGAAGTTTAGATTTTTGAAGCTTTTTTTTTTTCAATCCTCTGGAGTCAGCAGAGGTTTATTTTTTCGTGCAGTGTTAATGAGTCGTTTCATAAAGAGCCCCGTTTGATCGTCTATCCATTCACTAACTCCCCACCTGCCCTTCTCCAACAGTAACCCAACCCATAAGAATTCAATTTTATTTTTTTTTAATCTCCACTTCGTCCTGAAGATGTCAAGCCTGTCCGAGTGAAAGGGTTGTTAATTTCCGTGGGACCGGTGTCACTTTCCTAAAAGGCTAGTCAGTGGAAAGCCAGTAACTTAGGGCTGTGCGCTCCTCCCCCAGCTGCTGGGGAAGGGTGTTTCACTCATCCGGAAATAATACCACTAACTGGTGGTCTTGGGAATTGAAAAAGTAGCCAGTGGAGTGCAGACTTTCCCTTGTGGAATATATAAATAAACCAGCAATCTAAAAGCTTCTTGCCCTTGGGAGGGCAAAAAAGAAAAAGAAAAATGGAAGTAACTCTTCTCAGATTGATAAGCGAAAAATGAAAAATAGAATTACTGTGAAATACCTTTATTCTGAGAACACAACGCCAACAGGCTGAGGACACGGTTTAATGATAAATGGAGGGTGTGGAGAGAGGAAGGAAGATTTGCCCAGAAACTTGATATTGGTCCCAAGCTACAAAAGTGTGCACATCAACCGTAAAACTTAATCATCTGCTGACAAGTTTCACTGCTTTCCCTGTAGTGTCAACAATATGGATTTAAATAGACACTTCTGAGAACGCTACTTTAACTCAACAGCCAATCCCTCGTATATACAACACAGACTCGCTTCTGAAACGTTCAGTTAATGCTTCTTTTCTTTAGGTTCTGTAACATGCCACTTCTATAACTGTGTATGAAAACTCTATGTTTAATACCCGCAAAGGAGGAAAAAAAACGGACACCTCTCACTAAAATGCCAGCTCCCGAAGGGCAAAAATTTTATATCGTATTCCTTTTTGTGTATTCCAGTGCCTAACAGAGTGCACATCAAGTATTATAATAAACTCTAATTGCTTGCAAAATAGTAATTCACTGGACATTTTCAAATTTATTATAGATTTATCTCAGTTCAAAACAACTTTAGTTAGAATTTTTGCACTTAACCTAAAGTGAGTTTTTGGAAGTTATAGGGATCACCTCGATTGATATGAACCCTGTCCTAATAATAAAACAGAATAGGCTTCATAACTTTCCGGGCTTTTGTTGGTGGCAAACTGGCCCCTGAGCATAAGCTCCTAATTTCTTTTTGGAGAGAATTTTTTTAAAGTTTCCTGGATTGTCTCAAGTATTTATTTGGTTTATGACAGATCCTCCAAAAGTAGTTTGAAAATAGCCTATAGTTTTTTTGAAAGTATGAAAACTGCAAGTATTATAATTTTTTTTTAAAACTTTAGTGATTGCTTAGAGGATATGCCTATATATTTTATGTAAATTGAAATATGCATTTATATAAATATTAAAATATACCTCAAATGCCTTTTCTCTTTAAAGTTTATGTAGAGAATATATATATATTGTAATCCAGGGATGGAATAGGTTCAAATGTGCAAGCAATTACAGTATTTAGAATATGGCGCTCAGGTAAGAAAGTACCTGCAGGCTTCAGAGCTAGCTACCAAGCAACACGTCACACAGCAAGACTTCCTCTGCTCTCAAGGTAGAGGTCAAGAAGTAATCTGGATAATTTTGTAGGAAAGGTAGCAACAAAACCCTGAAGAGAAATTTGAGTACCTTAGTCTTAAAAAAAAAACAACAAAACAAAAAAACACCTCTTATTTTCTTAACATCCAGGTGCATTCCAAAGTTTCTTTTGTTCATTTTGTTGCTTGATCACATTGCTATGGCTGGCTCTACCCAGGGCCAATAGCTCATTTATAGGCTGCTTTAAAATAGTTATCTAAATAGCCCAAGTGAATTTTTCATTAGAAATGAGGGAAGGAGCCGAAACCAGTTTGGCTCAGTGGTAGAGCGTCTGTCTGCGGACTGAAAGGTCCCAGGTTCGATTCCGGTCAAGGGCATGTACCTTCGTTGCGGGCACATCCCCAGTGGGGGGTGTGCAAGAGGCAGCTGATCGATGACTCTCTCTCATCAATGTTTCTAACTCTGTATCTGTCTCCCTTCCTCTCTGTACAAAATCAATAAAATATATTAAAAAAAAAAAAAAAAAAAAGAAATGAGGGAAGGAGCCGAAACCAGTTTGGCTCAATGGATAGAGCATTGGTTTGGGGACTGAAGGGTCCCGGGTTCGATTCCGGTCAAGGGCATGTATACCTTAGTTGCGGGCATATCCCCAGCGGGGGTGTGTGTGTGTGTGTGTGTGTGTGTGCAGCTGATCGATGATGACTCTCTCATCGATGTTTCTAACTCTCTGTCTCTCTCCCTTCCTCTCTGTACAAAATCAATAAAATATATATTTTTAAAAATAACCATCCCCAACTCCAACATTTAAAAAAAAGAAAAAAAAGAAATGAGGGAAGGAAATAAGGGAGAAGGAGTGAGGGAAAGAACGAGGAATGAATTTATAATATAAATTTGGATTATAGGAAATTGAGTTACACCATGTTAGAAAAATATTTGAGTGTTTTTAGGGATTACAGTTTAACTCATAATGGGTTCTCAATAAATATTGAAATTGAAAATATAGTAAAAATTGAAATTGAAAATAAATTGCCAGATATTCTGGCTCAGCCAATTACTTTGCTTATAACATGTCATCCCTGCTATGGAATTATCCCTGGTGCTTGAATGTTCCCATTCATTTAACGAATATTTAATGATCATAACTATGTGCCAGATAGGAAAACCATCTCAGAAGTGGAGAGGCTCAAGTTCCCCGCCCTTCTAATTTATTTCTATATTATTTTATTTTATTTTATTTGCTACTTTTTCTTCTTGCAGCATTTGTTGCCTTCTTTCGAGACGTGTTGACAGCAACGTTTCAATATAATATAATGTTTTTGAAACGAATGATAAATGATATATAAAGGACTGAAAAGGACAATTCTTGTTTTGTAATGAATGTTATTATCAGCAATTTAGTAATGTTGGTAATGACAACTCAAACTAATGGTTGTTTTTTAAATGAAGGCTGATACCCTCATCAGAGGCTGGTACTAACCACATCAAAACATTTTTTGCTGAGCCCAGGAAAGAGCTGATTATTATTATTAAACATTGGGTTTGGTTTCTTAGTAGGTAATAGCTATAAGAGTAAACCTTTTGGACCAAAACAAGCACAGTATTTTGTTACTTATTTGTTTAAAACTCTTTGAAGTTCACCTAGCCAGTGGTCAGAGCAAGTGAGATCGTTTTAAACCATACATTATAGAATAGGTTATGTGATCTATACAATCCTCCAACCGCCGTTAATCAAAATTATATTTTTCAAATTTCTGAACTTTAAGACTTAAAGAGCATCAGAAATTTATTCTTAGAAAAAAGTAACCTCTGATTTTTTTTTTTTTAGAAATTTTAATTCTTTTATTACTATCTTTGGACATTTGAATAGCATATTTAGAAAAAAAATAAAATTACTGATAACAAAAGTAATTTTATTTTAGAAAGGACCTTGACAAACTTAAACTGATATCACAGGAGAGTAAATCAGAATGATGAAAGAAGTTGGAAACCAGAATGTAAAAGCAATAATTAAAGGAGGGCTGTGTTTTGATTGAGCAGGAGAGCTGTCTTTGACTATTTGAGGGACCATCATTAGAAGAACAAATAGGCTTTTTCTTTTTTATGCTAAGGAGCCAAATTAGTCTTGAAAATCACAAGAAAGTAGATACTTGCTAAATATCAGAAAAATGAAAACAAGGATAGTCCAAGGATGATGGTTCGGGAGGCAACTTTCAATCACTAATGATGATATTCACAAAACTAAAACCAAGAATTGTATTTCAATGAATTGCATCATTTACAATATAAAGCTTGCTACCTCTAAACTCCTATTAAATTCTATGAATCAATGATTCCAGAGGACAAGTGAATGGTACCAACAACAAACGCCTCAAATTCAAGAGAGGGATTTATCATAGTAGCTGGAGAAGTTAGAAATGTTTTTCCAAAGAGGATAGGATTTGATTTGGACATGAATTAATTAATTCATTCATTCATTTATTCAACAAATACTTAATATGAACAAATTGCCAGGCTCTGATAATAAAATAATAAGAAATGCAGAAACAGTCTTTCACTAAATGTGCGAGGCAGGTAATCAAAATACCCATACAAATATCATTACGAACAGTGAGAAATAAAAGTGGAAAAAAGAGAATTCGAACCTAACCATGTATGGCCTTGGGGTCTGATCTAATCTGGAGGTAAGAGAGAGCACCTTTGAGGAAATGAAGTTGAAT